TTAATTATCTATCGAAAATACTGTTATACCGAAGTAAAGTAAAAATATTTGTTTATTCAAATTGAATATTTTTCTTCCTAACGAACGAATTTCTTTCCCTTTTTTTTTTTGTTCGTTCTTTTCTTTTAACTCGTTTTTATTTGTTTTCGTCATTCTTTTCTTTTCATATGTAATAAAGAAAAAACAAAAATTTACAGTCAAATACGATTATTTTCATGTGTTATTATGTTGCGTCGTTATTTTAATTCGATCGAAGTTGAAATAAACAATCATGCATAAAAATTATTCGAAATGAATTTTTATTTCTTAGATAAAAATGAATGAATTAACTGACAACGATGAATTATATGGAATAATTTGTCAACATGATCATGCAGATGAACTTGATACGCGTCTCAACAGTTTATCGAATGTTGATGAAATATTGATGTTTTTACATCTACGTGATGAACAATGTTTAACCTTATTAATGTTAGCCGCTCTATATGGAAAAGATGAAATGGTACGCGTTATACTTGCTCATTCATCAGATATACCCAAACTAGTCGAACTTCATGGATATGTATTTCGTATTGATGGAACGTTTGTTAAAAATGCAACAGCATTGTGGTGTGCTTGTGATCGAGGTCATTATACAGTAGCGCGTACACTCATTGAAATAGGTGGAGCTAAAATTAATAATGGTCCGAAATATCCTTTATTAATAGATGCTATTATTGTTGGACGTCTTGATACTATTCGTTTTTTAATTGAAAATGGCTATGCAGATATCAATAATACAAGAAATAATGATAATTATAAATTTAATAGTCTTATTATGGCAGTAATTCATGGTCATACACAAATTGTTGCATTTCTTCTTGAAAAAGGTTCACGATGTGATTATGTAACTCCAACATCGAATAATTCAGCTTTAAGCTATGCTGCGATGAAAGGTTATTTAGAAATAGTACGTTTATTATGTACGGCAGGTGCTTGTTCTTTTTCAAAGAATAGAAATGGACAAACACCATTAATGTTAGCTGCTAAAAACGATCGAATGGATATTGTTGACTATCTATTAGATCACAGTGATAGTGAAATAGGTATTAAACAACTTGAATTAGTTGCTTGTTCATTTATAGTCGTAGTGAATAGTAATACAATTCAACAGATACAATTTCAAAGAATGATAAGATTAATGCATAAAATATACGAAATACGACAGAAAAAAAATCTAATAAAAACAATTGCACAACCAATTGCTGCTTATGCTTTCTATCAAGAATGTCAAATAATTGAAGAATTTAATAAAATTGAACATGATAATGAACGTTTATATATTGAAGCATTAATAATTCGAGAACGTATTTTAGTACCTGAAAAAGATGAAACATTATTTAAACCATTACTTATTATTGGTGATAAACTTGTTGAACAAGAACAATTTGAACGTTGTATTCATTTATGGGAACATACATTTTATTTATATCAAAATATGAATCTTGAAACTGGTCTTCATCGTTTTGTTTGGTTATTTTGTAGAATGCTTTCAGCTAATGCTTATATTTCTCCTCAACGTTTTGTACAAATATGTCGTCTTACATTTGAACCATCACAACAAAAACCAAAAGATGATTATATTAAAAATGCATTATGTTTTTTAGCTATAGCAATAAAAATACTCGAACGACCAACATTAACTAAAACAGAACGTCAATTAATTTATCAATGGATAAATGATTTTTCTCGTCAAAAACGTACTACATCTCATGGACAAACTTTATTACATTTATGTGTTGATGAACAAACTTATTATGATATTAACTATCGACCGCATGATATTAAACCAATACTTAAGTAAATCATTTTTCCATATAAATGATTATATACATATTTATTTATTTCTATTAGGTTTCCGAATTTAGCTATCACTCAACTTCTTGTTACTCATTACAATCAATGGATTGATATAAATGCAGTAGAAGCGACATCTGGTAATACCGCTTTACATATCAGTTGTAAAAATAGTATAATCGATTCATTAGCAGTAGTTCAATTACTGATTAATTCTGGTGCTCATATAGACTGTATGAATGTACATGATCGAACTCCGTTTGATATTGCTGAAACAAATCCAATACGAACATTGTTAAAAATAAAACAATTACCATTACGACTTAAATGTCTTTGTGCACGTCGTATTCTTGATAAACAATTACCATATGAACTTATATGGCCAAAAGAAACAGAAATGAATAGTTTCTTGTTTTTACATGGTGGTTTAGCAAAATTTAGTGAAAATAGTTCGACAAATTCTTGATATATTTATTTCCTATTGTAAATCAGGATTAATAAAAGTATTGAAATGTCATTTTTTTTGTAACCAATCTATCTGTTCAGATGAAGATTGATCTATTAAATCACTACATAAAAACAATAATGAGATTAGACAAAATCAAAGATTGAACAGATTCAACTATCGAATATCATTCGACTTCATCTTCTTTCTGATTACGAGTAGGTCTTGGCAAGATTAAGAAAAGTTTCAAGGAATTCAGACTCATGGCCTACTGATGAAGAGTTATGGCTGTTTTAATCTTATTGAGATCCTGAAAATCCAAAACAAAGACTTTTGACCTGAAATTTTGCCTATACAGAAGTGTAATAGCGATTATGTAGTCCTGAAAATTTCAAGAAAAATGAACATATCTTTCTTGAAATATTTAATTTTTAACTTGACTCGATTATTGTTTGCTTCTATAATAAATGTAGATCTTCAAAAATCATCAATTGTATCACATTCGTGTTGCATTGTGTATCTAATTAAAAAGACATTCATAATTTCGCTTAACAATTATTAAGACACTGACTTTTCCATTGTTGTTCGATGCTATTCAAGAGTGGATGTGAATAAAGAGATATTGCTCACACTCATAAGTTCACCCTTATTTGACCCGAATATGATCAATCTATTCGACTTACACAAAAAGTGGAGTAAAAATATGTGTTTTATTCTTAAATCAAAAGAAAAAAAGAAATGGCTATCTCACACGAAAAACATTTATTGAGAAAATTATTTAGTATGACTATGAAAGCAAGGTTTTCAAGTTTTACAACTTGGGCAATAACGCTTTTACATATTTCAACACTAAGACATAAAAAATTCAATCTTATGCTTTAAAGTTGTTAGCAGTAGAGAGTTACAGTACTTATCAAATGGATTTTTTGCCTTCATGTTTTCAACCAATGTTTTTCTATCGTTTTGTAGACATTTTCATGCTGCATTTTTGCAAAAAAAAAACAGTTCCATCCAAAATTATGAAGAAATGGTAGACATATTGAGAATAGACATGTATTGAATTTGAAGTCTGGTTTGGTATTTGAAAGCTATACAACCAGTTCAGATGGTTGGCCGTAGAAAGATCGAAAGGAAAAATATTGAAAAAAGTGATGCCTTCAGAATCGGTGTGAATGTAGGCGAAAGGAAGACTATAACCGAAACTATACTTAGAACCGGACTGGTAGGTTTTCACTGTTTTTATTTTTATTGATTTATTGGTGCACCAAAGTTGGCCTATTTTTTCGGTTTTTAACGATTTTCATGGTCTTAATGATCAAGAGATTCACGTATGAAAGTTCCTAACTGACAAATTTCCAGTTGTTGTCAAAATCCCAGCTCTAAATAGTGAACTAACACTTTTCTCGTTATACGACGAGAGCCTTGGATCATGTTGAATGAATTTATTATATTCAAGAAAAGTTAGCCAGGTATTAGAAGTTAATTTCAATCTAAACTAAAGATTTTTCATCTTGAAATTTCGAGCCTACTTTTCTGAACTACTTTCAATCGGCTCTCATAAAATCCTCATCGCTAGTAGTTTTCAGTTTATGCTTTTATTACAACATATCAGAAAACATTCCATTCTGTTGTCAAGATCTTGCCAACTGCTAACATTATGTAATTGTGGAAATATTTAGATATTAAGAAATCTTAAAATAGAAGATTTAACATAAAAATCATACTATCTTTCTATTGACAATAGTATTCTTTTACAAATTGAGATGCCTTTCAGCTATGTTAAATAATTATTTCAAATAAGAATAGATCAAACTGATTAATTATAAATAAATCATATTATTATTATTATTATTGAAAAAAATCAGCCAATGCATACTATAGATTGTTGTTCATTATTAGTTGCTGTGAGTCACCAGATGAACCATGGCAAACTAAAATTGAAACTGTTACTATTAGAAACTCGAAGGGTAATATGAGTTTTACATTGTATGTCTTCAAAGACTGTTTCTCGAAAGGACTGACTACTTAGTTGATGTAGTCAGCACACAGATTTTTCGTCGGTTAAATCAACAATGTCAACCGATCGGTTTCAAGTATGACCCACACCTGCATTCCTAATGCCAAAAATAAAGAATGTTTTGTTAGTGAAAATTTTCGATCTTTCTATAGCACACCGTTCAAACAATGTCGGATAATTGCCCAAGCGTTTCTTGAAATATATGGACAATTATAGAAGTATCCTAAGGTTTACCTTCGAATATTTTTGACTTTTTTTAGGATGCTTGCAGACCTTTATCTTTTGGATTATTTATTCCATTGTGGGTAAATCTACGATAGCTAAGCCTGAAATTCTTTCTTTTAGCTTACTTCATCAACTAACTGAAAATGATTGCATTCAAAACAGAACTTATACGTTTGGGTTCGCTGCATGTTTAACTGGGGACTTATTTACTCTACTACAATCATTAAATTACAATTCATTAGTCTTATCATGTTAATTAATCATGCATATTTACAAAATAAAAACAAAAATTAAATACAAATTCCCTATATTCATCGCTAGACTTCTTTTTTTTAATATATCTATTTGAATATTTAATTCTTTATACAATTTAGGTTCCAAAAAAAAAAAACATTGGTTTCTTCTTGTATTGTTGAAAGCAAAACCAAAAGAAATGAATGACGACAATATCCATACACACAAAAGAAAAAACAACTTTCAATCTTCAAGTAACCATTTATCACGATGTTTTCTTTTAATTGCAGCACGACGTGCTTTAATAGCATCAAGTTCTTTTTTTGTTAATTTAACTTTTTTCTTTTGATTACCATTTGTTCGATTTAATTCTTCATTCCAAGCATTATAATCAAAATAATGATATAATTGGCGAAGATCACGTGCATCTTGTCCAACAAGTCTTTTTCCTGAATTTATTGTACTTGGAATAACAGGAGGAATTATATAAGGTTGATAACGAAGATCTGGTTGTACATTTGCATATGCCATTGATAAAGCATAATCATTAGTTGAATACTGTTGTTCTTGTTCTTGTTGTTCTTGTTCAATAGTTAAAGATGATTTTGATTCAGGTGGAGATGGTTCAACACAACCTTTCGGAGTTTCCCATACCTAAAAAATTTAAATTTCAACAAATAAAAAAAATGAAATAAATGATTTTACCGATTCATTTCCATCTGACCAATAATAACGTTTATAATTTTCATCCCAATATGCTTGCCATTTTGTCGATTCTTCACTAGTATCAATTACACTTGTTGGGAGTTCTTCAGTTGTATCTGCCATTCAATAATAAAATCTCTAAATCTAAAGAAATTTCAATCAATAACACAAAACAACAAAATTAACCAATGAATATTTTCATCGAACCTCTATAATCTATTGTCGCTAGATGTATAAGACTTATTTATAATTGAATGATATATTTAACGAATCAATAAATTGATTTGCAATATAAAAATTTCATTTTATTAAAATGAATGGTTTGGTAGCATTAATAACCGGTGGTGCATCGGGTCTTGGTTTAGCTTGTGTTAATCGTTTTTTAAAACAAGGCATAAGTCATGTACATTTTTGTGATTTACCAATATCGAAAGGTGAAGATATTGTTAAATCAATGGATTCATCTTTAGTTACATATCATTCTGTTGATGTTACAAATGATAATGAAGTTGAAGAAATGTTTAAAAAAATTAAAGAAAAAAATTCAAAACTTAATTGTCTTGTACAATGTGCTGGGATTGGTGTTGCATTTCGATGTTATAATATAAATGTATATTTTATTTCTTTAATAACAAATATATTATTTTTTTTTGTCTTCATTAGAAACGAAGTATGCATTCAATGGAAGAATTTTATCGAGTAATGAATGTAAATGTTGTTGGAACTTTTAATGTTCTACGAAGAGCATGTCATATTATGGCTGATAATCAACCAGACATAAATGAACAACGTGGTATAATTATTAATACATCAAGTATTGCTGCATATGAAGGACAAATAGGTTAATTTTATTTAATAATCTAAGGAAAATAATATTTTAAAGTACTCTCCGATATATTTAGGTCAAGTTGCTTATTCAGCAGCTAGTGGTGCTTTAGTAAGTATGACACTTCCAATAGCACGTGATCTTGCAAGTGTTGGTATTCGTGTATGTACAATTCTACCTGGTATATTTGATCAAACAAAAATGGTAGAACCATTATCTGAAAAAGGAAAAAAATTACTTGCTTCAATGGTAACATTTCCATCTCAACTTGGTGAACCAGATGATTTTGCTCGATTAGCACAACATATTATTGAAAATAAATATTTAAATGGTGAAAATATTCGTTTAGATGGTGCTATTCGTATGCCACCTTAATATTTCATATTTTTTGTCTTATAATTCTATTAGGAAAAGTTAATTTGTTTTGTTTGTTTTTGTTTGTTTTTTTTTTCTAGATTATGAATGACAGATACAATTAAATTTAAATTAACAAATGGAGATGTTTTTGGTATATATCGTCAAACATTAGAAAGATATCCAAATAGTTTTCTAGCAAAATTAATTGCTAATGAAACAAATTCATCATTTCATTCACGTGATGCTGATAATTCATTTGTTATTGATGAAGATTCAATGATTTTTTCTTCAATTCTTACATATTATCGTTGTGGAATATTAACAATTATGCATGATGATCTTCGTCAAGCAATTATTGATAAATATATGTTACCACAAGTTCATTCTGCATCATCATCATCAATAAAAAACCTATCATCAAATGATGAACCTATGTATGTACATATTAGTTTTGAACATGCGTCATCAACATCAGCACAAACTAAACCACATCCTTCACATATTCCAGCTCTTCATGGATGTCCATTTATACTTACACATACGAGTTCTTATCGTTCGAAAGATCCAATTGAAATTGCAAATTATTTAATATGTCATGGATATACTATGGAACAGATGGATGTTAATACACGATCGATTTTGATGAAAAGAATAAATTAAAAAAAGTTTTTTTTTATAGTAAAATTAAATTATCGATTTTCATCACTCTTATTAAAACTATTTATGATATTACCAAACAGTGTTTTATCTGTCATGAGAACTGGGGAAAGGGAAATTTTGTCCCGAGAATTATGTTCACTTCTTCGAAAGAATTTGGTTTACTTTCATGGAAAACAAAATCATATTGCTTAATGTGATCGAACTTATAATATTTTATTAATCTGAATCAGTTTTGAATTTGCAACACCATAGCAATTTTTATCAGTTTCGTCAATATTCATAGTAATAGTTACCTGCACTAGATCACTTTTATTGAACGACTAATTCTATGCATTTCATGACGAGAAAGTATCTAATCTAATTAAGAATCAAACAACAGAAACTTATATATTCTGTATATTAGATTAATCTAATGATAGTGTCTAATTGAATGTATTAGCCGTCGTTATACTTACCAATCACAATGAACAGAAGTGTTTCAATCAATCCCGCATTTATAATCTTTAATTTTCATCTTAATGTCATACTCCTATTACTTCTCTTAATCGTATAGTCCAAACATATAAAGATAAGAAATTTCTTTTAGAGAAACTTGTTAGCACAGTCATTCTTGGGTTAAAGTGTGGAACTCATATATACTAGCAGATAGTTCAGTATAATTGTTTTTGTAATGCAATATACTTTAGACATTGGAGATGTAATTGTGATTAGAGAGAACACTCAGCCATGCTCTCCACTTTCGAATGTAATTCATTCGAGTGAATAAAAACGAACACAACCAGTACAAACGGAAAATACGATTAAGTAGTAAATAATTATAGTAATTGACGAAAGATCATTTGCAATGAATTTCATCAATTAATGAAACATAATTTTAAAAAATTGCCATTTCTTCAGCTCAACTATTTTGTGTCAATTTCAGTCTCGACCGAAAAACGATACTAGCTACGTAGATCATGATATATCTTGATAGATTTAAAAAATAAAAATTTCCTATAACAAAACAAAAATAGAAACTTTGAATTATTTTATTATTCATTTGCTCCATGAACTCCATATAATTTGATTAATTAAGTTCATTAGTATGAATAAGAGAAAGATCTTCTGTTTGCATATTATTGGATCAATGAGCATGAATAAAAAAAAAAGTAATCAAGAGCGTAGGAATTATTAATATTCACAAAGTTTGAACGGATTATTAACTGAACAAAAAGAAAGCAGAAAAAAAGTAATTTTATAGGTAAGCATCGGCGTAGGAATATTACTGACTTTCTTTTAAATACAAGTTTTTTAACATGTAAAAAGCGTACATTGTAACGAATGAAAACATGTGTTCTGTTTTTGTCGATTTTGTCTACCTGAGTGAAAAAGTAAAAACGTACATGTGAAGATCTCTAATACGTATATTTAATGTGAGTGACCTGCGAAATGTGATTATAATATAAATCCGAACGAGTCCATCAAAAGTTTTCAAGCATTGTAAGATTAATTGAACTGTACTGGAATATTTGCTTGGAATTTCATTTCGAATCTTCTTTAGTGTGTCTGCTATCTGAAGATTTTTTTTTCTCTCGACAACACCACTTAGTAAAGCTTCTTTTTTTTCATTGAGTATTCCACTAATAAGAGATATTAATGAACAAGTTTTATGATGACAGATTCAGCTAGAAGTGTTGAATTTTGAATGAATAAAATGTTACTTTAAAATACTAACATCATTTGCAAGACTATTATTACAAAGATACAGAGCTATAGAGCGATTACTATGTGATGTCAATACTTACGAGCATTCTTCGTTGGAACAGAGCATTGACCTCTGCTTTTGAGTGATTAATGTATTTTTGAAAATGTTGAGTACGACAATCATTTCTTTGTAATAAAATGCTTTGAAGAATTATGAGAAAATATAATGTTAGAATTGAAGTGATTTTTTTTAATGAAGTGCTTGAGTAGGACACTATATTGAATTCAATCATATTAGGTCTTTCAATATTTTGTGTAACTGCTACCTAATAAGAACTGACGCAATTTTTAGATGAAAATAGTGACCTAACCGAGGAAGAACCATGAAACTGAGTTTTGTCATCAGACAGTAGGTCACTTTTGTTTTAGAGAAATGAGCTTCGATCTGGGCAGAGTTTAAAAGGACAAGCTTCTACAAGCAAAGTAAAATTGAGTAAAACTTTTTTCAAATATTGTCAGTACGATCATCCTAACTTTGAAGTGAATCACAATAAATAATAACTAGAAATAAAAAGAAATTTCTGAAAATAACATGAAATACTATGTAAAAGAAATGAAGAGTACATAGATAATTCTGATAAGTACGATGTAATGAAATAAGAATACTAATGATTGACAATGAAAACATATATTGATGAATCTATATATGCTTCAAAAATAATAAGAAATCGAAAATATATTCGAAAGCAGGTAAACTTGTATTATTATTAGTGGAAATAAATACTGATAGAAAAGTAATTTAAGTGAAAAATTTTCAATGACAAGTTCAATATATGAGTAATGTAAAAGAATCAATCACTAGATATTATTTGTATGATTTCTTCAAAAGTTCAAATGATGTGGATACCAATGCATACTTTTCTAGATGAGGAGTACTGATAAAATGTAACTTTCCAATTGGTGAACTAGCATATGCTTTTTGTATCCACAAAACTAGTCGACCATCCGTAAGACAACATGCATTGACTGGTCCGATATGAAAGCGACGATTGAGAACACCATCCATAGCTTGATAGAGAAGTAATTGTTGACTTCGAGGATCACATAGAAGATATCTATATTCTGTCCCATAAGATACGATTGCTGTCACCCATCGAATTGACGAAGGTAGACGAACATGATCAGCTAATTTTGTAAGAGAATGATTGTACAAAGCAAAATAATGATCAATTTCCAATGAATGTCTTAATTGTGTAGTCGATTTTTCAATCCGTGGAAAACGTCGATAAACAAAAGCTAGATGATCATAGGATACACAGATAGCAGCCAATTGTCCATCAATCGATAAATGATTAATTAATTTCATTTCTTTGTCATTCAATGTATTGTGTGAATCATATGTAGACAATTGTTTTTCTTGTTCTTGCTCTGCGCTATCCATCGGATAGGTCAAGGTATGAGTTTCTAATTGATATGTATCTGCTCCAGATTTGTAGGCTAAAATGAATGACAAATGTATATCAAGGGTCTACATTGATCTCTTCTGCAAGTGGGATATTTTCTAATGATGAAAGTCAATATTACATTTTAAGGTGTT